TTTTCCTTTGTTCTTTGTACTCTTGTGGCAAGACAGCTAGCAGTCCAGGAAGTAAAAATTGCATTGCTGAAAGATCCTTTGTTTCAGTGCAGATTTTTCTTTGTGGCACCAAGCATCTATTTCCAAAAATAGGTATATGATTGTAAATGGGATTTTCTACCACTTCTAGTTAATTTTTAATTGATATTTCCTATAGGAAAGCTGTTTGTGTTTACTTTGTAATCAACCACTTACTGAATTACCTTATCTCTGATAGTTTGTCAGTTGATTCCCTTTTGTTTTCCACAAATCATCTGAAAATTGTTGGACCGCCCACTTTCCACGTTGTATACTTCATTTCTTTCCTTTGCTAATTACATTGGCTAGTGCTTCCACAGTTATGTTAAATCATCATGATACGGTGGGAATGCATGTTCACTAATGCCTTTGGTTTTCTTTTTGGGAAATTCACACCAATGAAATCTGATACAAGCAATCCACAATCAGTACCAAGGATAACACTGACATGATACAGGCTTTATCAGCTTACTTCTTCAATCTGGCCTTGATACATAGTGCTCATTTTCACGATCCCAGTGGAATAAAAGATCAGTATAATTTCTTCAGATTCTCTTGAGACAGGCTGGACCCCCTCCCCATTGGGGAGGGGTGTTCCAGTAGTGGCCACTCCTTTTGCATTCTTCTGTTACACCCAAGCACAGGATATAATGATGGCTCCTCATGGGGAGAGGTCAATCTTAAACAGCGGTAAGTACAAAGTGATGACACATAACAGATGCTCAGAAGTACTGTCCCTCACCATCATTCACTTCTTCCCTGTCTCTCTGCTACTGGAGGACATCATGGAGAAATCAGGTTCTTAGAGATGAGTATCAGCCTTCTCTCACCTGCTTTGAAGAGTGCCCAGGGAGCAAAAAGGGTTTCATGCCACGTGCAGTGGCAAAGCTGAGGCAGGAGGATGGCTTGAGCTCAGTTCAAGACCAGCCTGGGCAACATACGGAGATCATGTCTCAAAAAAAAAAAAAAAAAAAAGGCCAGGTGTGATGGCTAACACCTATAATCCCAGGACTTTGGGAGGCCGAGATCATTGGAACATTAGAGGTCAGGAGTTCAAGACCAGCCTGGACAACATGGTGAAACACTGTCTCTACTAAAAATTAGCCAGGTAGTAGTGTCATGTATCTGTAATCCCAGCTACTCGGGAGGCTGAGGCAGAATTGCTTGAGCCTGGGTGGAGATTGTGATGAGCTGAGATTGTACAACTGACTCCAGTCTGGGTGACAGAGTGAGACCTTGTTTCAAAAAAAAAAAAAAAAAATTACCCTGGTGTGATGGTGTGCACCCATAATCCCAGCTACTTGGCAGGCTAAGGCAAGAGGATCGCTTGAGTCCAGGAGTTCAAGGTTGGAATGAGCTACAATTGTGCCACTGCATTCTAGCCTGGGGGACAGAGCCAGACCTTGCTGAAGCAAAGAAGAAAAGAAAAGACACAGGAAGAAAAAGAAGGAGAGAAAGGGAAGGAAGGGAGGGAGGGAGAGAAGAGAGAGAGAAAGAGAAAGAAAAAGGAAGAAAGGAAGAAAGGAAGGAAGGAAGGAAAAAGAATAGAAAAGGGCTTTGTCTCCACTGTGCTATTAAGTGGGCAGAGTTATTGACCCAGTGGTTCTTTCCTCCCCTTCCAAGTCAAAACAGCAGAACAGTTTTCAAGGAAAGATTAAAAACCAAGCCGGAAGTGGTTGAAAATGTATTTATTTTTTTTAAATGATCTTTTTCAAGCAATAAATAAAACCAGACATACTGACTTCTAAAAAACAAAACCAAACAAAAATCCCCTGACCTATATACATCCTACAGAAATACAGGCATATCAAATGTAGAAATGACATCACTCTGAAAGATGGGCCTATTTACCCTATTTACACAAGTTACAAGAATTGCATTGCTGTCTTTAAGAAGTCTCTTCCTTGAATGACTCGTAAACTCTAAGGGAGAGAGGGTTTTGGTGGGGAAGCAGGGTTCAAAGTGGAGACATCCTCCATCTTTATTGATGGACAAGACAGTCTCAAGGAAAAACATCAATATCCAGGCACTGTATTGAGTCCCTTAACAAGGCTCCACAGATTATCTGGCTTTCGAAAAGCCTGGAAGGGTGCTCCACTCAGGAGCTCCCGAGAGAAACCATCTTGTCCCTCAGCCGGGCTGGGATTGGTGGTGAGACCATGCTGAGCCAGTGGCAAACCCGTGGCTGTGATTTCCACAGGACGGTCTGGCTCTTTGTGCTGTCACACCCAGCCTCCAACAGTGCCTTGGCATCCAGAAAGCATGGCAGTTTCCCAAGCTTGGCTGCACAGGTAAAGTACCTGGGGAGCTTCGAAACACTGATGCCTGAGTTCCCCCCAACCCCACCACTAGAACTGGCTGAACTGATCTAGGAGAGCCTGAGTATCAGAATTGTGAAAGTTCCCCAGCTAATTCCAACATGGAACCATGGCTTTACTACCACAGGCTTGGCTGGTGGCCAATTCTCAATATCCCGTCTCTTCCTGTCATGTTGAAATCAACCATCCTACCTCCCTCTCTGAATCTTCCCAAGATTTAAAAACTTTTCTATGGCTTCCCAAATTAGAAAACTCTCTGGAATCCAGCTGGAATGAGCAACTGAGCAAAATGGCCTCGGGAGGGAATGACGGGAGCTGGGACCTACCAGTCACCTGCTCACCTCCGCTTCAGCCGAATACTGCTCTGTGGGAAAGCTTGGTCCATTTCCCCCAAGGCTCCTCCACACACATCCCTGGGTCAGACATGCTGGGAGGGAATGGGCAGCATTCCTCACTCTCTACAGAATACCCAGTGAGCAGTCTGTCTTTCACAGCTGACAGCAAAGTTGATAATCAATGAAGGGCAATGCTTTCCTGTCATTACAGATATTTTCCATCAGTAGAATCCCTTCATGGGAAGGATGGATGCTGATCGAAAGTCATTGACCTTTTGGACTGACCCTGGGGTGGTGTCTTCATCAGAGCGATTGTAAGTCATCCAAAAGACTTCTGATGAAAAAACAATTTTAAATAAGTCCTCCTTTCCAATCAAGCCAGTGATTTTATTTCTAAAAGTTTTGAGACTCGTGCTGTTATCAAGCACAAAGAAAATGGCTTTATAAATAGTTGTTTTGACACTGTGATAGAAGACTAGGGAGGAAAGATGTCACTGGAGCTAGTCCTGAGTTCCGACTGTCCCCATGGTGGGAATCCAGTCTGGGAAAGCAGGACACTTTTGGCAAATGTGCACTCATTCTATAAAAACTGAATCTGTTCTGCAGGTTACCTTCCCTTCTTGCCTTCTGTCCTGTCTCTCTGCTGCTGGGACCCAGGTCTTTTTTAGCTGCAGAACCCACTGGACTTCCAGGAATCAAGGAAAAGGTGGGTATGTCCGACTGTGTTCTCTAAATTGTTCCATTGTTCGGGAACCCAACCCCTCCACGCTTCAACTGTTATTCTCAGAGGAAGCAGGGAGCCCCTGGCTGTTCTTAAAATAGCCAGTGGGAGCTCTAGCCTCATTCACAGGCAGAGCTCTAAAGCTACTTTACTAATAAAGTCAGGATGAATGAGGCCATCACAGGTTCATGGAAGGAAAGGTAAACAACCTGGTCCTGTCTAGGATGCCAGATGAGAAAGAGCATCCCAGCGTGATGGTGACATTGAGGCTTGATGTTATTTATGGGTGAGCAAGAATGTTCATTAGATGTAGACTCTCAAAGGGAAAACAAAAAACAAAAAAACATGCTCTCACTTCTAGACAAGTTTGCAATAACCTCTAATCTGGCACTCCATAACAAGACTGTTGCACAATACTACAAACAAAATAGCATGTAGCTTGTTCCCTCATCCCTCCTCCCCAAACCCTCCCCACAGAAAATGTTTCTCCCTTCAAAGCCAGTCCTTATTTAGAAAGGCCCAAGTAAGGATTCAAAATGGCACCCACATGCCCATGATGCACGTCCCGGGCGCCAGTGGCCAGCCCCCTCACCAGCCATCAGCCCCGACCCCACCCTGGCCCTTTGGTTTCCAGTTTGGGAAATTCCTACCAATGGACTCTGATATAAGCAATCCACAATCAGTTCACTGATGCTCTCTTGTCCTTCCACACTTCGAGGAGACCTGAAATGTGGTATATATTTCCCTCTTTTTATTAAAAATCTTTTAGGTGAATATTTTAGGTGACCCTGGGGTGGTGTCTTCATCATTTTATTCAAAAATATTCACCTAACCAGGAATTTAAAGAACACAAGAATTGGTTGGTATATTTCACTTCAGGTAACCCCCTAAAATTAAAACCTCCAATTGATGCAAAAAAGAAAAGATGGTGCTTCCACTTACAAAAGGATTCATTTCAGGATTATCTCTAGTTGTCTGGATTCCCCAATGGCTGGCCTTGCCGAATGATTTGCTGTAGGAAAATTTGAACCGCACCCGATTTTCAAGGAGCACCTTTGTTGTGATATGGCATCGATCACAGACGATAGACAAGTCTTAGGCAGATTTAGGCAAAAATTGCTCCCACCACCAAAGTGATCATTGGAGAGAAAAAAGGTTGTCTTTTTGTGATCTAAAATTGCTTCAGTGGCCTACATGCCCAGGAACCAGCTTCAAAAGCAATTCATGTTGGCCATGGTGACATGCACCTGCAGCCCCAACTACTCGGCAGGCTCAGGTGGGAGGATCTCCCGAGCCCAAGAGTTGCTTGAGACCAGCCTGGGCAACATATTGAGATCCTGTCTCTTTTTTACAAAAAGGCAATTCAAACCTAATCCTTTGCTCTCTTCCTCCTCCCCCGACCCTGCCTGCTTCTCACTGGCAACAAACACAAGGTGCTGATCATGCTACCTCGCCCACGCCTACAACACACCATTGACTTCCTAACTGCTCTGACATCTGCATGCTATGTGCTCAGCTGTCTGACATCAATATAAATATATTCTAATTGCACTGTCACTAGACTTCTTGTACTTACATATTCTGAAGAAAGTCTTAATAAATACTTTATTATTAAGCATCATTATTCACCTGTTGGTGACTGAGAAATGAAAACCACATCCTTGAAGATTTCTTCTTCTAAAAAAAAAAAATTCCTGTAACTACAACGACAACAACAAAGGGACAAGCACACAGAACCAGGCACTTCTGGGAAACTTGTCTTCTCATCCCTTTGCCCTCCCTTCCTCCCCCTTTAGTAAAACTGGTTGGGCACGTTTGCTAGGATTTGTGGGTTTCATCAGTTCAAGCCTTACTGCTTAAAAAAATGAGGTAAGAAATTTCTATCAGAAAAGTAAAACTGACACATAAACCGAACCAAGGTCTTCCCTGGCTGCTGCGGCAGCCGTTATTGCTCTAAGTTGGAGTGTTCTGTTTGCTTTTAATGTGTATTCGGAGTCCTTATTGCCATTCTGGCTGGCCTCGCGGTGGGCCAAGGAGAAATGATGGGAAAGGAGCTCGGTCGCCTGCTCGCAGCTGCTCAGTCCCGACTTTCTGCCCGTGCCACCCTTGCTGGGAGCCGGCTCTGGTTCTGGGGCCCCCAGGGCGGATCTAACAGCTAGGGGAGGTGGTGATGGGGCTGTGCAGGTAGGGCAGGCTGCTGGGGGCGGAGTGCACGCCCACCGAGACCGGAAAGCTGAAGACGAACTGGGAGGTGGGCGTGGCGGGGGTCTTGCCTCGCTCCCGCAGGGGTCCGGAGGGGCTGGCTGCCTCCGCGGCACAGGATGTGGCCAGCACCTGGGACTCGAACTGCAGCAGCTGCCCCATGAAGCTGAAGTTGGGCGAGATGATGCTGCGGCGCTGCTTGACGAACTCGAAGGCCTCCTCCAGCCTCACCCGCTTCTTCATCATCAGGTAGGCCAGGCAGATGGTGGCCGAGCGCGAGATGCCCGCCTGGCAGTGCACCAGCACACGCCCGCGGCAGTCCTTCACCGCATCTGGGGACAGGGTGCCATAGGTGAGTGCACGTTTCTGCAGACCCCGCCCCGATTAGGGGCACCGGCCAGCACTGGGGGTGAAGGACTCTGGAGGAAGGAATAGACATCCTACACCAAGGACTGGGGAGGAAGAAAACCCACGTGGGAGAGTCTCTAAAATGCTCCCTGTTCTGAGGTCTGTTTTCCCAATCATTATGCTGGAGTTAGTTTTCCGGTCAAGGATTTCCATTTGCAGAAACAAAACAGTGGGGCCCAGGGTGGTGGTGGCTCATGCCTGTAATCCCAGCACTTTGGGAGGCTGAATCGGGCAAATCACTTGAGCTCAGGAATTCAAGACCAGCCTGGGCAATATGATGAAACCGTCTCTACAAAAAATACAAGAATTAGCTGGGCATGGTGGCACACTTGTAGTCCCATCTATTCTGGAGGCTGAGGCCAGAGAATAGCTTGAACCTGGGAGGCGGAGGTTGCAGTGAGCTGGGATGGCACCATTGCACTCCGGCCTGGGCAACAAAGTAACACTCTGTCTCAAAAATCAATCAATAAATATAAATAAAATAAAAACTGTGGCTTACTGCTCCCTGCATGTTCCTCCCCATTCAAAAAATCTCACCATCTGGGCACCAGAGCCATGCAAGGGGAAGGTGACTGACTCTGCAAGCTAAGCCTGGGCGTAAGTCCCTCTTCCCTCCTCCCTCCCAAACCCACATCCAATGCACAAGCCTTCCTAATGAGGAAGAGGGGAAATGGGGACTCTTGGATTCAGTGCCTCCCATGTCCACCTTCAAACCGGGCTTACAGGGGTTCCTTCTCATCCTTCCCACTGGCCCTGGGACCCAGGAACCCGAGTGCAGGGCCAGCCTACCAATGTACTCTATGGCTTCCATGAACCAGGAGCTGATGTCCGCCTTGTGGTTGTCTTCCACCGGGATGCACTTGTACTGATAGTGTCCTTCAAAGTGGTTTGGGCAGTCGGAGGAGACATTTAGCAGGGCCGTGATGCCCAGGGCATCCAGCATATCTCTCCGGGCGGCATGGTAGGCACTGCCGAGGTAGAGGAAGGGAAGGATCTCCACAGGACCCCCCTGCAAAGAAAGGGAAACAAAGTCCCCCCCAACGACACAAGGGTAAGGTGCTTGGCACAGGGAGTGGACACTTGTCTGCGGAGAGCTTTCCTTTCCAGGCCCCATGGAGGATGCCTGCTGGGTCTGGCCCTCCCAGGCACCCCCTGTAGCCTCCTGGAGCTCTTGGAGGGGCGATAGGCTTAGGGAGACTTCTCCAGCCTTTGACCTCTACTTGTGGGCAAAGAGGCCAGGGCAGGTAAAGTCTTGTGGGTCCCTCCTGCAGCCCACCTCCCCCATGGCAAAAGAAACGGCAGGATAATGCGAGCCTTGTGGCACCATCTGTGACATGGAGTTGATACCTGCTAATCATCAAGCCATTTGCTGTGTGGTTTATGGTTATGTATTCACTGGGCATATAAAAAACAGGTGTGCAGTGGCTCACGCCTGTAATCCCAGCACTTTAGGAGGCTGAGATGGGAGGATCATGTGAGCCAGGAGTTCAAGGCCATCGTGGGCAACATAGTGAGACCTCATCTCTATGAAAAATTAACCTGTTATGGTGGTACACACCTGTAATCCCAGTACACACCTGTAATCCCAGCTACCCAGGAGGCTGAGATGGGAGGATCATCTGAACCCAGGAGTTTGAAGCCACAGTGAGCTATGATTGCACCACTGGACTCAAGCCTTGGTAACAGAGTGAGACTCTGTCTCTAAAAATAAACAAATAAATAAGCCGATGCCTTCTTGGCCACACAGACAAGAGAAGAGATCTTGGTAAATGAGGAAACGCTGGCTTAAATTCAGCAAATGAGATGTGGGCAGCAGAGTCCATCTAACTGAAAGAGCCCGAGGGTTCTTTGTAAGAAACACAGTGGCTCATGCAGATTTTCTTAGAGGGAGGCTTTGTAAGAAACACAGTGGCTCATGCAGATTTTCTTAGAGGGAGGGTGGGTAACCATCTATGTCCATTTGGCTGATACATGGGCAGCCTGCCTCTCGGGGACCAAGATGCAGTCCATGACCTGCTACTTCAAAGAAGGATGACCTCAGCTTCCCAGAGAGCAGGTCCCCAGGGCTTCAGGTGGCCTCACTTGTCGGCACACCATGCTAGAGGCCAGGTCAGGGAGTCGTGTCTTTGAATTTTTTTCTTAAGGGGAGGATATTTAGAGAGGGAAGGGGAAGATTGCCAAGGAGTAAATGGGCCCTACCTTACATCCCACCCCAATACTCAGGGTTCACTGAATTCTCCCCAAATTGAGACATAACATTCAAAAACTTGAAAAAAAAAAAAAAAAATCAGAACCAGAGCCATGGGCCCAAATCAGTGATCCCAGCACTTTAGGAGGCCAAAGCAGGAGGATCACTTGAGGCCAGGAGTTCAAGACCAGCCTGGGCAACACAGCAAGACCCCCTCATCTCTACCAAAAAACTTCTTAAATTAGCTAGGTGTGGTAGGGCACACCTGTAGTCCCAGCTACCAGGGAGGATCCCTTGAGCTCAGGAGTTCGAGGTTGCAGTGAGCTATAATCACACCACTGCACTCCTAGGTGACAGAGCAAGACTGTCTCAAAAGCAGACAAAAAACACCCTCAGAACTCTGAAAAGAAAGCACTGCTTGGCCCCTACACTGCCCCTCACCCCCACTCCCAAGCGCTGCACCCCAAGTCTACCTGGTCATGTAGCGGGGTCCCGCAGGAGCTGCAGCCCAGGTCCAAGGGCTCTGTGGCACTGGGGGGAAACGGGGGTGGGATGGCTGCCAGGGCCTTGGTTTTAGAACAGAATTCTGGGTACTCGGAGGAAAACCTCTCATAGCCACCTGTAAAGGAGAAAGAAGCTCAGGTTAATGGGGTCACTAAGCCAGCAGGAAGTCAGAAAGAACTTAACTGAGACTCAGGCCAGCTGCTGCGAAGGTGGAGCGGGCATGCTCTGCATTTGCCACTGGGTGGCGCTGTGGACCTAGCGAATGGCCATGGAGAGGTTTCCAGAGATGCAGAGGACATGCTTGCCAGGACTGCAGCAAGGCTGGAAGAAGTGTTATGGACAAGACCTGGGTTAGAGAGTTAGACACCCAAAGGAAGATGTGCAGAGAATGTGCAAAAAAGACTCTACAGAGTAGCTCCTTAGGACAATGACAAAAAAGAAGGGAAGGTCACACTGGGCTTCCAAGGACACTAAGCACCTGAAGAGACACCTGTCACCCCAGATTCCAGCCCTTCTTCAGGGGAGGTCCTCCAGTGTGAGAAAGAAGGAAAAGAAATGACCCTGCCACAAGCTCTTCTGGATGTCAGCAACGGAGCTGTTCTGTCACCCAAGAGGCCAGAACAAGAGGAAATGGGCTTAAATCTAAATAAATCCCTCATGTTACATGCAGGTTTGCACAAGGGAAGATTTCCCCACCGGAGAGTGCATAAGCCCTGGAATGTTTATCTGTGGGTCATCTTCCAGAGAAGGGAGATATTTTAAATAAAAAAAGAAGCCAGGTGCGGTGGCTCTTGCCTGTAATCCTAGCACTTTGGGAGGCCAAGGTGCATGGATCACGAGGTCAGGAGTTCAAGACCAGCCTAGTCAAGATGGTGAAACCCTGCCTCTACTAAAAATACAAAAGTTAGCTGGGCATGGTGGTGGGCACCTGTAATCCTAGCAACGCGGGACGCTAAAGCAGGAGAATCGCTTGAATCCCGTGGGGCAGAGTTTGCAGTGAGCCGAGATCATAGAGTGAGACTCCGTCTCAAAAAAAAAAAAAAAAAAAAGAAGAAGAAGAAAATAAATGGCCAGCCGAACTGGAATAGAGGCGGTGCTGCTATCCAGGAGGGGTGGAGGTGGGTGGGATACAGGGAAAGGCCGCAGGGAAGCCCTCCAAAAAGACAACCACTCAACCCCTATCATCTCTGGTTTTCTTGTGATCTCTGGGATTCCCTTTGTGGCCAACTTCCAATCTACAGTGCTATCCATGTGTGGCCCTGCTTTTATTTTGATTTTGCAGTTTTTGTAGGGCCAGAAATTGATTAGATTGATTCAGCAGGGCCTGTGTGTTAGAGACCCATTCAATTGACTCCCACGACAAGTTGGCTGACGGTCCCAGATGTCACTGCCTTTGCAGTCTTCATGATAGTGACATAGGACCACCGTGCCCTAGGGCCATTCACAGAAATTTTCCAATGTCCAGACATGTGACGCTTAGTCACTTGCCCCAAATCCCAACCCCAAAGACTGCTTCCTACTGAGAGGAAGGAAACTGTTCTCTACCACAGTATAAGACTTATAGAAACAGGGCATACAATTTTTCCTCTCTGACTGGAGGAAGCTCCTCTACTCCCCTCCTCTCCCTCCCTCAGGATATAAATGGATCTCTCTCTGGTCACAGGCCCTTGTTCCTGCTGAGTCACAGTGACCAGCCTCCCTGGATGGAAAACCTGCTGGCGGGGCTGGTACCATCAGCTTTGGTCATGCTGGTGGCCTTGGCAGCCACCTCATCACAGAAACACCCCCTCCCTCTCATTAGAAACCCCTTTCCTTGTCCGGCTGCCAGCACTGCTACACCAAACGCAGTGATTAGAGGATGGGGGAAGAGGAAGCAAATGTCTGCCTGCAGCTGAAGTCCCTCAGGGGCCTCTGTGATGGGAAACTTCGGTCAATGCTCCCTTTTGGAGGAAGTGGAAGGGAAACCATGTATCAACAGTGGTTGGACACCTGTATCCCAAGCCATTGCTTGTTATTCTATGTACTTCTCTAGGATTTGCAACAATTCTAACTAAATGATCCTTCTGTGTCTGTTACATAATTTGAGCTGTCAAAACACATGTTAAAATGACATGTTAGACCCAAGTGGTGTCCGGCAAAATCTCACCACCTAGACAGACAAGCTATCACCTGCACCAGAAAGCGAATGGTTGGGCAGCCCGGGAGTGCCAGGACAGGCCCCAAGGTCACAGAGCAAAGCGGCGCTGGGGGCTGGAGAATCAGGAAGAGCCCAGAGCAGCTGAAAGGATGATGTCCCCATGGCTGAGGGTATGGGACAGGGCACTGGAGTGAAGGTCTGGAAAAGGCACAGGCTCTGCCATCAGGTTGCACCCCACCCCGAGCATTTACCAGCCTGGGCTTCCTGAACCTCTCCAAGCCTCCTCCTTGTCTGTAAGAGGTGATGAAAGTCTCCTGCACAGGGGCCTTTGAGGATTAGTTCCAATAGCCAGGCTCTGCGCCTGGCATCAGGGAGACAGATCATGAAGTTTTCCCTTCTTGGTGCCTACAAGGAGGGGTGCCCTTGGGTGCCCTCAGCAGAGATCCTCAAAGGCCAAAGAGGAACCAGGGGACAGGGTAATGCTGATAAGTGTAAGGTACTAGGCCTTTGACAGCCTGCTCTCCCAGAAGCCCATCTCATGGTTTCTGGAGACCTCCAGACCTCCAGATTTCGTAGAGAAGACAGGAAGGGCTCCACCTTCCCTCCCAGGCACAGCCATCGCTGCCACTCAGCAGAGTCCTTGCCAGGGACCTGGAGCCAGCCACTGGTCATGGAGTGGTGTGGGGGGCAGGGAGGGCCCAAGTGACCCATTAGACAGGGAACAGGCTAGATCTTGGCTGAGGGGTGCCATTGGTCATCTCCCCCAGGCTGATCACAACTGTCTGAAAAAGGCACCATTAAAAGGCAGCAGAGAAATGATTACGGAAAAGTCAGTTACCTCTGCAGAAGTTTTGAAGCATAAGCAAAAAGAAACAAGGTGAAGAAGCAAATTCACTCAAGGGGCAGGAGCATTGGAAGGTTCTCGTCCCTGACAGTGGTTGCCAGCTTTTAGGGGTCTGTGTCTAGTTGTCAGAAGATGCCACACTAAAGGGAGTTCCTTCTGGTGGGCCCCAGGCTGCACTCAGGCCAGCACCCATAGGTGAAAACAATATGATCTGAGCTGGTGGAGACTGGAGGATGCAGTGAAGGTGAAGCGGGAGGATGCCTCCAAGTTAGCATTTCTCCATCCATGGAAGAAGCTGCTCACGTCCACCCCGCACAGGGCCACGCCCCGCCCCCGCACAGGGCCACGCCCCAGTAAGTCATCTCTGGGTGTCAATCTATGCCACCTCTGCCTTCCACCCCTTCCTGGGGGGGGCCTTCTCTAGGGGGCACTGCCTGCAGGTTTCATCAAGTGAAGACAGACTTTTCATGCAAAAACAGAACAGATCCAAATAGGGCACTGCTGATATTTCACCAAACTCTGCTTCTATCCATCCATTTCCTAATCCAGGTGATCATGAAGTCACAACCCATTTTTTTTTTCATGGAATACAATAGAATAACTTAGGAGGACCCATTGCACTTAAAGAGAATTTCATTTCATGGAACTTTTTTTTTCAGGTGTGCATGTATCCCTCCCCTGGGTCACAATATAAATTGAAATGTGTTTCTTACCATGGGCGGGGTCAAAAAGGATTATTCTAAGGCTAATTCCACTCAGTCCCTGCTACCCATCCCAAATCCATGCAAATACTGTAATCACAGCTCTTTCAAGACCTAGATATAGGTCACCAGTTTCATCCCAAAAAATCATGAAAGGGAAAGCTTATTCTCATTGTCTACAAAGGGGCTGGGCTCCATCCCATGCCCTAGCTCGGGTGCAGGATAAGTGGAGAAGATCCAGGTGCAGGGCCAACTTGCATTGTGGAATCTGGACAAGTATGTTCCCTTCTTAACGCTGGTTTTTCCCACTCTCAATTCTCAAAATGTAAGAATTTCTAATTATAATGATCTTTAAGTTCCAGTATCCTGTTATTCTCAATATCTAGGATCTACTTATTTGCAGGTCAGTTTGGCCAGCTCTGAAGCAGAAGGGGCCTAAAATCTGCATTTTTTTCTTCTGAATAATTTTATTATCAAATGTGCCATTCCAGATGAATGAATTTGGACTTTTTTTCCTATGCCCTTTGAATGTTTGTAATGAATGTATTGAACATTCTGTGTCCTACTGAATAAATTCCATAACAGGTTTCTTACTCATTTCAACCTGTTTTTCCCATGTGCTTATTTAAGGATACATTTTCTGTTCTTTTTTTTTTTTTTTTTTTTTTTTGATATGTACTCTCACGCTCTGTTGCCCAGGCTGGAATGCAGTGGTGTGATCTCAGCTCAGTGCAACCTCCACCTCCCAGATTTGTTTCTCCTGCTTCAGCCTTCTGAGTAGCTGGGATTACAGGTGCACGCCACCACGCCCAGCTAATTTTTTTTTTTTTTTTTTTTTTTGTAGTTTATTAGTAGAGACAGGGTTTCACCATGGTGGTCAGGCTGATTTTGAACTCCTGACTTCATGATCAGTCTGCCTCAGCCTTCCAAGGATTACAGGCATGAGCCACCACACCCAGACTATATTTTCTATTCTTAAATCTCTCATTTTGTCACCTTTATTGTACAATTTGAAAGTCTGGAAGAAAAAAAGGAATATGATTTTCATTCAACCTACTTGGGGAATAACTCCATCTACAGTTCAACTCCGCCGTGCCTCCTTCTTCTCACACCCTCATACAGAGAGGCAATTTTCAAAGTTTAGTGGAAATGAGGAGCCTCATCAGAAACTCTACCCTGCACTTATGCCTTGCAGGAGCAGGAGATAATGTATGTAAAAGTACTTTACGAAGGGCAGATGGATGTAGCACTGAGAATATCAACATAATAGGATTGTTAACGGGATCTGTGACTGGGAAAACTGTCCTTTGGTGGTGACTATGATCCTGGATCTTCCCCGCCACACACACACACACACACACACACACACACACACACACACACACAGGGTCTCTCACTCTATTTCCCAGGCTGCAGTCCAGTGTCGCGATCAT